AAATCAAGTATGAAACCTCGAAAGTTGCTGATTTATTACAGCCCTTGCCGGCTCCTAAAGGTATTTTTGAGGAACTCTCTATGGATTTTATTTTAGGTTTGCCAATTTCAAAAAGTTTCACTACCATTCTTGTTGTGGTGATAGGCTGTCAAAATTTGCTTATTTTGGAACCTTGCATTCATCTTATACAGCAGCGACAGTTGCTACTTTGTTTTGTGATTTGGTTGTTCGCACACATGGGTTTCCTCGATCAATTATGATTGATAGAGATAACATTTTCCTTAGTCAATTTTGAAACATCTTTTCATATTGAGTGGACTACCTTGAGAACTACTTCTTCATACCATCCCCAATCAGATGGTCAAACAGAAGTCACAAACAAATATTTGGAACAGTATTTGCGTTCCTTTTGTTTTGAACAGCCACGTACATGGTCTAATTTCATTTGTTGGGCCCAGTGGCGGGGCCATTTGTTGTCTGGGCGTGGCTTCAGTCCGGGCTAAATTTTAACAAATTTTACTTATTATGTACAATTATATAATTAATTATGATTTGATCGGGTTAAAATTATAATTTGGCCCGGGTTACAATTTGTAATTTGGCCCTATCTAAAACTTAAAATATTTTTGGTAAAGGATTTGGGTAAGTTGTATTAGGTTATGTGTTCAATTTTCACTTATATATATATATATATATATATATATATATATATATATATATATATATAGTAAAATTAAAAAATATTTAATAAAATTATAATTCTTCTAAGTGTTGCATGTATTTAATATAATTTAAATATATTATGATATGAACTAGCTAAAATTAAGAAAAATAAATACACATAATTTTTTGGCCCGGTCTCAAATTGGAGCCCGGCTCCGCCACTGGTTGGGCCCAATATCATTATAATTCAGCTGTCCATTCTGCTATTGTCATGGCTCCATATCAAGCAGGGTTCGGTAAATCTCTAATTATGACTCCATTTTACCCGAGTGGGCTCATTAAAGTGAAAGCTATAGACACTTTGTTGCAGTAGCGCAATGAAATTTTGGCACAACTTAAGGTACAATTATAGAAAGCTCAAAATCATACGAAGGTCTAGTATGATACGCACCGCAAGGAAAGATTTTTTAAGGTAGGAGATTTAGTTTGGGCTCGTATATAGCCTTATAAACTAAGCTGTATATAAAACAAGTGGACCCTGTTAATCGAGCATATTTTCAGTGATCTTGTATAGACTTGTTTTTATCTAGGTTAGAGTTGTGTAATTGTTCACCAATTTAATTTATTTGGCAAATGATTTATTAATCTAATGCAAAAATATGTGCATTTTGATGATACATATTCAAGTCGCATATCACCTTATATGCAATTTATGCAAAAGCCAATGTGTCCCCTGTCACGTATCAAACATGCAAAAAGGGAAGAGTGCGACTTGAATGTGAAGGAAAGTGATATATGCTACTTGCATAGCGGGACACATAGCAAATATGTGCTCACTTTTGCACAAATCACATATGAAATAGTGTGTTGGTTAAATATGTATCGTAGGATGTGAGTCTTTTCACATTAAATTAATAAATTGTTTGACAAATAAATAAATTAATGAAATATTTTTAATTTTACTTTACATGGTTGAAAAAGCCTCTTGTATATTATGGACTATTATTTTATTTTTCAATAAGTAATGTATTTTCACCAAAAATTAATTACTTTTTAATCATAGAAATGGTGTTAATTTTTCCTTTGCTTTAAAGTCCTCAAACTAATTATGTGTGTCTATGCAGAGAACATTTGTAGTAGTCCTGACACATCTATTCCTTCCATTGAGGAGCTGTCACTTACAGAAAAAAAAAACAAAATTTGTAAAAAGAAGTTCTACTTTGTTAGATGGATATCATGTAGCGTGAGTGGCACGTGGGTAGTTTAATGGAACAATTAGTTGAGGTGTAAAATGTATAGTAAAGTGTTGTATAATTAGGAGTGTTGTATAATTAGGAAGTGAGTAATTCATTGTCAGTGTTAGAAGCTAGTTCATACTTATGATATAAAAAAAAACTTTGTAAACCATTGAGATATTCATCTGAAAAAATCTGAATACCCATTTTTCGTTATCTATTCTTTTCTCTTACGGGTAAACCCTAACAATAACCCTATTTTAAGTTGTAAATCCACACAGTTACTTGCCTTACCTCTAGGGGTGTGCAAAATAACTAAAAAAACTGAACGAAACCATGAACCGAACCGAACCACTCTTAAAATAACCGATTTTTTAAAAATCAATTCATGAACCGAACCGGTTTTGGAACCAGTTTAAGAACCGAACCATTTTGAACCGAACCAAATTGATTTTTATAACTTTATTTTTTAAATTTTAATTTTTTTTCTTTTCAAAAGAGGGTCGACCCGAACCGGTTCCGAACCGAACCGAACCACTTCCGAACCGAACAAGTTTTGAATCGAATCGAACCACTTTCGAACCGAACCATTTAAACCAATTCGGTTCGATTTTTCAAAAAATCCGATTCGATTCGACCAATGTACATCCCTACTTACCTCCCCCAATGAACTAATATGCATGGCGTGTGTGATTCAACTTGTCAATACAAGTAAATGGCGGCCGAAAGAAAGAACATTACAACGCATGTTAATAAATTAAGGTATAGTACGGTTAATTTCACAAAACATTTTTTCTTTTGGAAATTAAACAAAATTTATTTATACAGAGAAGTATAAGGCACGTTATCTATATACATTACAAATTACGAATGTCCAATAGTTTGAGCTAACTCACCCGGCATTAATCCTTATAAATATGGAAGTAAAATTCGTATGTATGTAATGATAGAGTCAGAAAATTTTGTGAAGGGGATGGGGTTAAGTAAAATTCACAATAACTTACAGGATAAGTAGTTTGTCGATACGTAGTTAGATTTTTTAAGAACTCTCCACAAAAAAAAATTATATATGAAAAATAATAAGAATGAAGGGGGATAAATTTATACTACAATATATATATATATATATATATATATATATATATATATATATATATATATATATTTTAAGTTTGAATATAGTAGAAGATAAAGTTTTTGATAAAATTGTGGGGAAGAATGAAGAATCGCCCCTCTATCTATATGTGTTTGCGTTAGTTTAAGGTAACTGATGAACATTCAAAATAAGCTATGAAAGTTTGAAAATGTGACCCGAGTACCTGTGCTGACTACCATACATTGATACAAAAACGGGGCCCACAAAAGGGTTACTTTCCATCGCAGGTGGAATATTAATTTGAATTCGACGAGAAACAAGCATCGCGTCCCTCTCAAAATCTCACCTAAACCCTCGAATAATTGTAAACTTTTATGCTTAAGCACATTCGTGTATATATCCAACTCCAACTTCTTCATGAAGATACTCACAATTTAGAAGTAAAATTTTACGTAATCATCATAAGGATATGACTTTTTATTAGCCAATGGTTTTATTCTCAGAAAGATCATGCAGTATACAAAATAACATCAGCATTCAGCAGGAAATATTAAGGTGTATTATATTGAAATCAAGAGCCAGATCCCGTTATCACTAATAAACTTTCACAAAGAAGTTCAAGATTGTGCTTACAAACTTTCATTTGTATTTGTAGCTGCACCAAAAAAAGAAAGATTATTTGATTAATTAAGTAAGAGAGGGTAATCTTTCTTTTCAATTATGTTGTGTGAGAATGAAAATAATTTTTTTTTAGCTTAAACAAATTTATATTTACTTTTTAAACAAAAGGCCCTAGACCTTATTGTGCTAGATAGATATAATATAAAATTTCATTGAAGGAATATCATTTATCAACTTAAGTTTTTAGATGAATTGATTGTTTTACATAATATTAAAATTTTCGTAGTTAATGTATAAAAAAAAAAGTTTCCGTAATTAAGTGATCACGAGTTCTATCATCAACATTTTCACTTTCTAGTGAAATTAAATCATTATAATTAGTTAAAATAAAAAAATTAGGTCTGTGCAATATTTACGCTCAAGACATAAAGGGTGAATTAAAGAGATATAATATAAAATAAAAAATTGAAACCCAAAAATCCTCAAAGAGGTTGGGGGTCTTCCCTGACCCTGGTGGGATACTGGAGCCTACCCCACCTAAACTTTTTGTAATAATTTTTTTTTTTTTTTGAAAAAGCCCATCAGTCCTCCACTTACCCAAGTTGTTAGATGAAATGGTTTATCCTAGATTACCCTTGTAGGTTGAATTGGTAATGTGAATTATTATTATTATTATTATTATTATTATTATGAGAAATGTTATATTTACAAATTTTGTTTTACAAACTCTTATAAACTATACTATGTCTGACCGGTTATACACTTTTAGTTGAAGTCTGACTAGTCATACTTAATATAATTTGTAAGTTTGCAAGAACAAAATTTTATAAATATAATATTCTCTTATTATTATTATTATTTAAAAGAAAACCACGATAGGGTCTGTTAATTAGAAGAAACCAGCCTCAAAACTCGACAAGGAAAATCAATCTTAGCTCTGGACACAAGTAATGCACGTCATTATGTCTCAGCAATGTTATTCAACCAGGATGATGATTCCACGTTGATTTTAGACTGTCCTACAATATTGTATTTTTTGCTTTTATTAATGAGTTTGTTTTTTTAGTTAAGGTATCTGCACTAAGTCTAATACGACGTCGTTTTCAAGTAGAAATTATGGTATTTTTATAATTTTAATTTATTTCAGGATTATTATAGTCTTTATAAATATAATAATTTAATTTTTCAATTCCAAAACGATATTATTTTGAGAGTAAATACAGATAAGTTATCTGCAATAACTTCAAAAATATTATTGTTTGTTAATTATGAGACTTGAAGTCAAATCCTTACAATTTCTTATAAACAATAAGTCTAGCTAGAAACATAAAAATAAAACCAAACAATCACATCACACAACAATTCCCCACGTCAATTATTTTATTGCAGTTCAAGTTTGTATAAATCAAAACCAGTGTGAGCTTAATCCAAAATACATAGAAGAACAACGACATAAATGCTTTCGCAATTAGATCAAATAAAAAAGAGTTTATCCAAAGAAAAAGATAACCTAATTTTCCCACTTTCCGTCTCTCCAATTATTGCGATTCTCCCCCAAACATTTATGTATATTTGAAGTATAAAAACATTAAAAAGACAAAGTGTAAAAGTCCCAAAGTTCTTTTATAGAGGGCACGCGACACGCTTAGAGGGAACGGCAACGAGTCGACTCGCCCTGGGAGCGGTGAGTCCGAACACGTCACTCATATCTAACTCGCTGGGCTTCATGCCATCCGGTAACTCCCACGTGAAGCAATGAACCATGTGAGCCACCGCCAGCTCCAGCGCGTACAGACCCAGCTGCATCCCGGGGCAGGACCTCCGACCCGACCCGAATGGAACAAACTCAAAATTGTTCCCTTTGAAATCGGGCACGCCCGGGTTCAGGAACCGCGACGGCTTGAACGCTTCCGGATCCTCCCACGAGTCCTTGTCCCTCCCGATTGCCCACGCGTTTATCATCACGCGCGAACCCTTCGGGACGAAGTAGCCGGCCACCGCCGCGTCCTCCGCCGTCTCGTGGAGGAGAAGCGGGATCGGCGGGTGCAGGCGCAGCGTCTCCTTGATGACGCATTTCAGGTAGGTGAGTTTGTCGAAGTCTCGCTCCTCCACGCGCCGGTCCAGGCCCACCACGTCGGCGAGTTCTTGTTGCACGCGCTTTAGGTCTTCTGGGTTTCGCATGAGCTCCGCCATGGCCCACTCTATCGCCGACGCCACTGTCTCTGTCCCTCCGAACATCACGTCCTGTGGTGTTGCGTCGTCATCAGTCATCACTCTTATTATTAATGTCATTGATTCAAATTTACATTACACAATTTCTTTTTCCTTTTTTTGAAATTGAAATATAGTAATACTCATAGACATGGACATGGACTGAAAGAGAATTGACACCTACATATACCAACCCTCTTAAGTAACACAATGGGAACTTCTTATCTTTCCGGCTTCATAGTTGACACCATTTGTTCTTATCATTAAAACAAACACAGATATTGTCCTACACGATCTTGTTACTAATTATGAATGTTAATTAAAGACCGAAGGTGGGAATAAATCTTTAATACTACTACTAAGATTCAATGCATCTCATCAACGAGAGTAATACACATCAGAAGAGAGAGAGAAAATTTGACAAAATAAAATAAAATTAACTAACATGTAATATTTTTGTTGGTGGGATGCACTGAATCTTTGGTACAGCGGTAGTACCAAAGATTTATTCCGAAGGTGGAATATATGTATGCATATCTAATAATTTAGTCCTATATGTTTCGACTCACATATGTCTTCATGTATTTGGCTATAACACTAAAATATTATTGGAAATAATAATAATGATTTGATACATTAATATATATGGTCCCTAACTTCTCATGTTGCTACAAAACTTTTACTCTTATGCAACCAATTACAACTATGTATTAGGGATAATTCATAGTTGTAATATTAAAATAGTTTTTTTCTCTCCGTCACGTCAGTCGACAGCGTTCTGAGGAGAGAAAACAAATAGCTCTGAAAATTATGATTATGTACTACTCATAGTACATAATTGTAATTGATTGCTGCAAAAAAAATTTCTTTGCAGCAACTTGAGAAGTGATTTTATAAATATAGAGACAGAGAGAGGGGAGAGAGGGGATTTTTACTTTCGATTAAGATTAAAAAGCCTTTTTCTTTATCTCATATGTTGATTTCTGTCTATTCGACAATTGTAATTTATTTGAAATTGGTTATTATTTAATAGATGTAACACAATAAACTACAGTGTTATATGAACAGAAATCAACAGATAAGACATAGTAAGATTTTTTCATCTTATACTATATATATATATATATATATATATATATATATGTATGAAGTAGAATTCTTTGACACCAGTGTCAAATTTAAAATTTGACACCTCATCTGAGAGTCATTAGATCAAAAAAGATCAACGACTCTGATTTGTAAGCATGTGATATCATTGATCTTCTTTGATCTAATGGCTCTCACATGAGATGTCAAATTTCAAATTTGACACTGGTATCAAAGGATCCTATATATATATATATATATATATATATATATATATATATATATATATATATAATTTTGTGTAAATGGTATTACTACGGTAAGAAAGTTACGTCGACAAATCAATCTTCAAAAGTTATGTTTGACTTAAACAAAATAATATATGTCATTAATACATATATCAGAACGCCTTATAAGAATCTCTCTACCTTTAAATTAAATAAGTCATTAATACATATATTATCTTGTTTAAGTCAAACATAAGTTTTGAAAATTGATTTGTCGACGTAACTTTCTTACCCTATAGTAATACCATTTACACAAAATTATACTATAGATTATTTTATTTGAATTGAATAGAAGAAAACAACATGACATAAGAGTTTAGAAAAATATGTGAGCGGAATTACAATATGCATATAATATAGTTGAAATTATGGTAGTGTTTCTCATCAATCTAAATGATTAAATCCCTCCCATCTCATACTTGTCATGAATCATATTTTCGAACTATGACTACCAACTAAGAGAAGTATATATAATTTCTTTAATAGGCAGCAACTTATAATATTGTAAGATCACAAGACAAGAAAGTTGATAACTTGAAAGTGAAATAACTCAGATATATATGCATACCATGATGATGGCTTTGATGTTATCCTTGGTGAGTTTGATGGAGTTCTGCAAATCATCAGATTCATTATTCACTTTAGCCTCATCGCTGTAAAAAGCTAACAACTCATCAACCATGTCAGTTTCTTCATCACCATCACCATCACCACCACAATCACTCATATTCTTCTTTTTCACCATATGTTCATCGATAATCTTATCTATAAAACTATCCAAAGCACCACGAGCCTTAACAAGCCGAGCATGGAGACCTTGTGGATCAATCCACCCAAGAAACGGAACAAAATCACCAACATTAAAAGCACCAAACAACTTAGAAAACTCCTGTAATATCGCAATGAACTCGTCTTGTCCTTCCTGCGAGCTACACCCGAAAGCAGAACGATAAATGATGTTCTTCGTGAGATTAAACACAAGTTCCCCTATGTTAACGGGCTTGCCGAGGTTGTTCATAACGACGTTAACGACGCCGTCGACTTCATCTCTAACGGATTGCCATGACTCAGCACGCTTGCGGCTGAAGAGTTTCATGACACAAAGCTTACGCATCTGGCGCCAGAAGGGACCGTAGTGTGCAAATGCCATGTCAGCACGGTCGTAAGTGAGGTAGGTTATGGCTATGGTTGCAGGGCGATTGGAGAAGATGTTGTCTTGAACTTGAAGCACTTGTCGTGCTGCTTCTGCGTTTGAAATTGCCACCATGTGAAGGAACCCCATGCGGAGGTGGAAAACGCCGCCGTATTGGTTTGCTAGGTTTGCTAAACCCCTATGTGTTAACTTGTCCATCATGTTCATGTTGCCTATGATGGGTAAGCCTTTTGGTCCTGGTGGATATGGTGCTCTTCGGCGAATTCGTGATAATATACCCAGAAGCAACATCGTTGGGATAATGAACAAGAGTGTCATGCGGAATGGTTCTAGTGTGGTTTTTGCTTGTAGAAGCAAATCCATGTTGTGGGGGTTTTTTTTTTTTTTTTCGTTCTTCACTATGAAGGAAATGAATATGTAGTTTAGTGTGTTTGAGAGAGATATTATGGGGCCTTATATAAAGACAATTGTTTCTTGTTGTGGAGTGTAGACCTTGGTTATCTTGTATGTAATATGTGTGAGAAAACTAAGCTGTATATAAAACAAGTGGACCCTGTTAATCGAGCATATTTTCAGTGATCTTGTATAGACTTTTTTTTATATATACAAGTTAGAATTGTGTGTTTGTTCACCAATTTAATTTATTTGGCAAATGATATATTAATCTAATGCAAAAATATGTGCATTCTGATGATACATATTTAAGTCATATATCACCACCTTATATGCAATTTATGCAAAAGTTAATGCGCCTTCCCGCCACGTATCAGACATGCAAAAAGAGAAGAGTGCGACTTGAACGTTCAGAAAAGTGATATATGCTGTTTGCATAACGCGACACATAACAAATATATGCTCACTTTTGCATAAGTCACATATGAAATAGTGTGTTAGTTAAACACATATTAGGATGTGCGTCTTTTCACATTAAATTAATAAATTGTCTGACAAAAAGAAATAAAATAATTTTACTTTACATGGTTCAAAAAGCCTCTTGTATATTATGGATAATTTTTTTTTAATAAGTAATGTACGGAGTATGCAATATTACAAGAGTGCTGAAAATATTTTGTTAAAGAAGAAAAATAAATAAAAACTGTTTTTCACCAAAAAATAATTATTTTTTAATTATAGAAATGGTGTTAATTTTTTCTCTGCTTTAAAGTCATCAAACTAGTTATGTGTCTCTAAGCAAATGGTCCTCTCCGAAGCAAAGTGAAATATTAATTTGAAATTGAAATACGTACTCATTACAAAATCATACGTGGACATACGTGAAAGGAGTCAGAGTAAATTTATAAAACATGATGAGGAAAGTACGTCAACTAAAGGAGCTTATTTAATATAGAGGGGGACTTCAAAGTCCCTGTCTTAAAATAGTAAAAAAAAGGACTGAGCAGAAATTTAAGAAGAAAGAAAAGATTAAAATGAAAGAAATTTTTTCTTTTTTAAGAAAAGGTGCACCGGGTCTACATTAGAAAAATCCCAACTAAAGAAATATTGTAACAGTTCCCATCAGAGAATGAGTATTGGGGGGAAAAAAATTAGAAAAAAAGGACCATATATGACTTCTTCATTTCCGCCGTCACCTCTAAACATAAGTGTCTGATGTTTTAGTTGTATCAAGACCAGATCTTTTAATTAATTTCTTTTAACAAGTACAATTTACCAAATCCTCTATTAACGATTGAAAAACATGTAGTATTAAAAAAAATACTGATTTAACGATATTAAAAATAAGTAGATAGTTAGATATGAAAAAAAATAAGTATAATATTTTATCCAATAAAAAAGACCCGAAGATAGACACATGATAGATTAAATACCGACATTCTCGAAGGGGCTGAAAAGTTCGTGTAGAAATATAGGGCATAAAACTGACAATTTTAAGCTGGTGTGTTCAACCAAACTCTACATCAACGAAAAGTCAGAAGCTTGTGAATTGAAATTCGCAGAGGGATTTTGAAAGGTAGTTTTAGTTTGACATTTCCCTTTTTCCGTAATCTCTTTTTGCCGGTCAGTTATAGAGTATGTATTACCGATACTGACACGGGATACGAGACATGATACGACACAATACTCCGACACGTTAATTTTAAAAAATATTAGATTTCGACACATTAAGACACATTTTGATATTAAATATTATTTTTAATTTATGTAATGTATATTATATTTAATACTCATTTATTTAATAAAAGAATGAAGTTAAACTTTTAACACCTATCAATTTTACAAAGAAACATAAGATATCCCAAATATTTATATTAAACTCAATAAAATGGTAATCGTAATCCAACGAATCTAATAGTTTGAACTAAAAATACAACGCAACGCAATCTTTGAACCTTTTTGAGTCTCTACAATGCGTGATAGAGTGTCGGAGAGTGTCGAAGTATCGGAGAGTGTCGGACACGACACGTCAGGGTTTTTGAAGTGTCGGTGCTTCATAGACTATAGATATATAGGAAAAAATATTGAGTGCTCTTACTAAAGGTGTAAATGGACTAGGCTGGCCTGCAGGGGCCTACAGCCTAGCCTATATTAGATCAAACTTGCTCTATTACAAATAGTAAAATAGAACAGGTCTAGGTTTTTAAAAAAAATCTATTTAGAAAACAGACCATAGATTTTTTTGTACATGTCGGACCTATAAGCCTATATGCCGGCCTATATCATATTATTTATTTAAAATATAATGAATAAAATTATTATTTTAATAATTTTGAATAATAAAATAATATTATTTTAGTTATTCTTTTAATCACTGAATATTTAATAGGCTTAAACAGGCTAATAGGCCTAGGCCAAGGCTTTTATTTTTTAAATATTGGTCAGGCCAGACTTGTAATTTAGGGCCTACGCAGGCTAATAGGCCATGCCATACCCAATATTTTTTTACACAGGCCTAACCTATTTAAGCCAAAGTCTAGCTTAGCCTAGTCTATTTACACTCACCACTCTATTCTTTCTCTCTCTTCTCTCTCCTCCCCTTCTCTTTGGCAGTGTATGTGGGTCGAGAGTACTAAATTTTCTCTCAGATATATAGATATATATAAATGTTATGGTGAAATAAAATCAAATCAATAATTATAAAATGATATCAAATGAAAATTGTTAATCTATTTTCAATTTAACAATAACAAAAATAATTATAATTAAGAAGTTAAGACAAATTTGAAGTATAACCTCACTGGTATATAACAAAAATATATATAAATAAAAAGAAAATGTTATTTGATTTGATGTAGGTATATATATACAATGAGTTGTCTTTCTTAAGGTATGTACAATACTCTATGCTAGCTCAGATGTGTCGTACAAATTTGTATTTGATTGACTTTTTTTTTCGAGTCAGAATAATTATGGTTTCTGGCATTTTTTTTTATTTTGTCTTGAAGATATAGATGTCTAGTCTAAGATTAGTATAATTACGTTGGATCTGGATATTCTCTCAAGTATTTATGAGTTAGATGTCTCTGAGTGTAGCAGATCACTATGCACTAGGAATAATAGTGTTAGTCAAAGGAGTGGTGTATGTGCACAGTAACAGCATAACAGTAGAGAGAGAAAAGGTGTCTGTACCTGTAGGCTTTATCTCTTATTTATAGAGTTTACTTGTGGCTAGTAAAATTATGGACCTTTGGGAGTTCTTCTGGGGCCCCATGTCCAAGCTCGTGGCTTCACCTTAGGATTAACATTTAGCATCCTTGATTGATGTTTTCCTTTATTTGCCTTAATTTCCTTTTTCCATTGCCTTTTTTTAGGCCTTCTAGAATATAGGTCTTTCATGTACGTTCATAACAATTGCCCCTCAGCTCGATAGTCCAGATGTTCAGGATGCCGAGGTGTATATTATGGCATATTTGCAACCACGGGGTTGGCCTTAGGATCCCGGATTGGATGTTTACCTCTAGCTTGGGCTGACAGGGTATCCATGTCCTCATTACTTGCCATTGGTAGCATTATGACATAGACTTTCTCGTTTAAGCTTAGCCATTTACTCTATTATTTTAGCCATGCTAATTTCGTCATCGAGTCTCATTTTCGAGTAATGACCTATTTCCCCCCCAACCCAGTAGTCTGGGTGTCCGGGCTATCGGGTTGTACGGTATGTCATGCTCGCATAACCATGCCATGTCTTTGTATCTCAGATTTGGGTACCGAATTTTAGTTTGACTGATCATCGTTGCGCTTATCATTGCCTACTTCTGGTCGCGTTGTGAGCTTGGTCCTATTATGGATCTGGACTTAAACGTCCGCGATCTAAGTTTTGGCTTTCCATCTTAGGTGCCTTGTGTCCAAAATACATTGCCTGGCGTACTTGAACTAAAATATTATGTCTAGGGTACACAGAGGAGCAGATTATCTAACCCTGGTTTTTTTGATCCGTGTTAATTTCTTCATCCGTATTATGGGATCTTATCTCTTTTAATGTCTACACCATCTCACGTGGCATTTTGTAGTTCGCGGGACGTGCCTCAAGCTGCACAGACCGTCACCTCATTTGGAGCATATTAAATGTTGTCTCTTCAACCGTCTTGTCGACTATGGATTTATGTTTCTACCCCTACCTTTTCTACTTCGCCCCCCAAAACCATTTGATTTTATATGTTGGTTTTCTATTCAACATCTCATTCCTATCTCGAGCCTTTGCATTTCTTCGAAGGTCTCTTTTTCTTTGCTTATGGGTTCCTCTTCTTTCTTAGGTTCATTTCGCAGCTTCATTGTTCATGCTTCGTTTTCTAGCGTTTAGGCTGCTCATTGGTCCTCCTTCTTCCTTTAACATATACCTCTTCTGACATTTTCTTGTGTTATTGAGTTTATCTTTGGTTTTTCTAGTTTTCTTATGCTGTTATTTTCTTCCTTCAACGACCATTGTGAGTGTGTTGCTTTTGCCTTCGTGTTTGTCTGTGTTTCTAGATGAATTAATATCTATTGGAATTAGTGCCTTTTTTGTTATTTTGGGTAAATCTCGTTCCATCATTTCTGGGAACTTTGTTCATGCCTTCCCGGGTAGCTTGACTTTCTAGGTATATTGTTCATATCCTCTCTCCACCGCAAATTTTTGAAACACTTGAGTGTTACTTGTAACAGCACGTTACGTACCAGTAATGTTAACATTGCATGTGGTATTAAGCACAGTCACAATCACAGTAATTGAGTTAATTAAATTACGGGTAAACTTTTTCCTTTATTACTTTCTTGTTGTTAACCATTAATCATTTCCATAATCAATTAAAACTAACACCGTAATTATAATTGCCAAAACTCGCGGAAGCATAATACTTATTCTTCATAACCCCTCCGGGCAATACCATCAACTCCGGGTTAAAAAACAACATATTTTCAAATCTACAGTG